TTCGGTTTTGAAAGGCAAGACTTCTTAAGGAGTACCTTTTTCTATATTTTATTGCCTTTTAGTCTACATTGTTTTTCCTCAGCGATGTTGAAAACTCGCCCTACCGCAATTCTAGTTGATGCGCTAGAGCGTGACTGCCGACTTTCGAATAAAATTGTTGTCTTTATTTAAAAAATCATATTTTCAGATAAATTTCAAGAACTGAAAAATGGCTGAAAAAGAAGGAGAAGAAGACTATTGGAGCAAGCTTCCTTGGGAACTAAAAGAAGAGATTGTTGGATATTTGCCTTTTTTCTACAAGTAAGGTTTTTATTTAATTTGAGGACATAAGTTGGACAAGCTGCTCAATTATTGGGCATTTTTAGACTGTATAGGACAGGCTTTAATTTTACCCATTCCAGTAAAAATAGTCGTGTTTGAAGTTCCAGAGATTATGGTAGTTTTTTTTGCATAAGATTGACGTTTCTCAGATTTACCAAACAAAAATAGAGCTTCAATTTTGTAGATGACAATTTTTTTGTAACTTTTTCGGATTTTGAAATGTGCGCCCTCAAAAGTATTTCTCTTTTCTCGTCTTTTTCCCTGGTACTGTAGAGGCTTCCGTCTTTAAAGGCGCCCATCTCAAAAACCAAAAAGCTACAAATAAGCTCTTAACTACAAAATTGAAGATCTAGTTTTAAAGAGTAGATTTAAAAATGTTCATGCCTAATTTCCTTGAAAATGGTTCCTAATACGAAAAGTACAGTAACACAAAAATTTCGGAATCTAATCATGATTAGGCTCATTTTGAAGCTCTAACTAACTAGAAAAATAATGCTTCCAAGACATTGTTAACGAAAATGAGTCGAATTAAAAAACGAAAGATATTAATACGTATTTTTTCAGATTAAAATTTCGCCAAGTCTGCTGAGAGATTCTAAGATTCTAAGATTCTAAGATTCTAAGATTCTAAGATTCTAAGATTCTAAGATTCTAAGATTCTAAGATTCTAAGATTCTAAGATTCTAAGATTCTAAGATTCTAAGATCCCGAGATTCTAGAGCAGACACCCAAAATAACTTCATTCCAAACTTTTATTTTATTTAAATAAAAAAATTTATCTAGAATTATGAGTAATCATAGTACTTGAATTCGTGGTAACAGGTTTTGGAAACGCACATAATTTCTTCTGAGTTCTCTTGCTTGCACGTGTGTTATCACAGCAATTGTTGAATCTCTGGAAATAGAAAGTAGTGTCTGTTTGTTGAACCTTGGAATCCTAGAATCTTACAACTCGGGAATCTGATAACTTTAGAACCTGGGATCTATCTGTATGTCTGTTTGTCCAATGTCCAATTGCTCACCTTCAACGAACACTTCTTTTTCCCATCACAACCGGGTATGACACCCGTCAAATCCATCAACTTATGATCTAATTGAGTCTCCTCTTCAGGTTTATAGAGAAATTTCACATAAGGTATTCCATTTTTCTTCCACAATTCCACTAGAATCAGTGTGTTGTAATTTGGCTCTTCCTGAGGTCCATGCGCCAAAATATGCTCGTGGACACCAAATGCCGAGAGGATTCCGCTCATGACCCAATCTTGCTTGAATTTTAAAATGTCAGATTTTTCTAATTTTTAAAAAATTTTTGAGTTTCGAACTTTGAAACTTTCAATTTTTGGTATAAAAATTGTTTTTCCAATTATTCAGGAGTTTAAAATTGTCTAATGAAACTCAAAACCAAGTAATCCGAAATTGATGGAAACCCACCGAAACCGTCAATTTTCAGCTAAATTATTTCGATTCCTGTGAAAGATATCAAAAATTGGTCAACTGATAAATCATATATCATAATATCACCAATATTTTATCAGTTAACAGATTTTTGATATCCCTCATAGGAATCGAGATAATTGAGCTCAAAGGAACGTTTAGGGTGGGCTTCTACATAATATACACAATATAAGAAGTTCCGAAAACTCAGAATTTTTTAATTTTTCAAAATATTCAACTAACCGTCGAGTAGACCCTAAACTTCCTTTTGTGGATTTTCCTCTGATACCGTTCCCACGCTGTTCTGAAAATCAAAAGTCATTTTTTCCTTTTTTAAAAATAATATTGCTCACTCCATATCTCTCAAAATCTTATCAACCAACACTCCAAATTTGACTTGGATATATTCCCGACTATAGAGTCCGTTCAAATAATTTCTAACTTTCATAAATTCTTTGGATATTTCCGCATAGTTATCACGAACTTCCTGAGAAACTGGAACACCATTTCGTACCTAAAAATATGGGATAATTGAATTTACTGGAAAATATAGATATACCATATTGATATACATATCGCTATCAGTAACGTTGAATTTGTTAAAAATTGATGGCCATGGTCCAAGACATTTCAGAGCGGTTGTATATTTATCCTAGAAAATGGTTTTGGAAAGGTGATTTCAAAAGTGAACCTACTTCTTTGTTGTCTTTTCTCAACAGATCTGGACATGTTTTATTCCTATAATCAGTCTTAACTTTGCACGGGATCGGGAAATTTAGTAAAAAATTGTCCCTATCATTTTCTGTTTGGATTGCAACAGAAGTGTATTTTTGCTTTGGATTACGAAACATGGCTGCTCCAACTGTCGAAGCAGTGCTCAGAACACGATCCATCCTCTTGAAAACCATTTCATCTGAAATTAGAGTTTCTGAGAATTTGGGAATTTTTTGGATTCTAGATAGAATGCATAGAATGAATCTCAGAATCTCGGAATCTCAGTATCTCAGAATCTCAAAATCTCAAAATCTCAAAATCACAGAATCTCAGAATTTCAGAATCTCAGAATCTCAGAATCTCAGAATCTCAGAATCTCAGAATCTCAGAATCTCAGAATCTCAGAATCTCAGAATCTCAGAATCTCAGAATCTCAGAATCTCAGAATCATAGAATCTCAGAATCTCAGAATCTCAGAATCTCAGAATCTCATAATCTCAGAATCTCAGAATCTCAGAATGTCAGAATCTCAGAATCTCAGAATCTCAGAATCTCAGAATCTAAGAATCTCAGAATCTCAGAATCTCAGGATCTCATAATCTCAGAATCTCAGAATCTCAGAATCTCAGAATCTCAGAATCTCAGAATCATAGAATCTCAGAATCTCAGAATCTCAGAATCTCAGAATCTCATAATCTCAGAATCTCAGAATCTCAGAATCTCAGAATCTCATAATCTCAGAATCTCAGAATCTCAGAATCTCAGAATCTCAAAATCTCAGAATCTCAGAATCTCAGAATCTCAGAATCTCAGAATCTCAGAATCTCAGAATCTCAGAATCTCAGAATCTCAGAATCTCAGAATCTCAGAATCTCATAATCTCAGAATCTCAGAATCTCAGAATGTCGGAATCTCAGAATCTCAGAATCTCAGAATCTCAGAATCTAAGAATCTCAGAATCTCAGAATCTCAGGATCTCATAATCTCAGAATCTCAGAATCTCAGAATCTCAGAATCTCAGAATCTCAGAATCATAGAATCTCAGAATCTCAGAATCTCAGAATCTCAGAATCTCATAATCTCAGAATCTCAGAATCTCGGAATCTCAGAATCTCATAATCTCAGAATCTCAGAATCTCAGAATCTCAGAATCTCAGAATCTCAGAATCTCAGAATCTCAGAATCTCAGAATCTCAGAATCTCAGAATCTCAGAATCTCAGAATCTCAGAATCTCAGAATCTCAGAATCTCAGAATCTCAGAATCTCAGAATCTCAGAATCTCAGGATCTCATAATCTCAGAATCTCAGAATCTCAGAATCTCAGAATCTCAGAATCTCAGAATCTCAGAATCTCAGAATCTCAGAATCTCATAATCTCGGAATCT